GCAGCGCCCGCGCTCGGCCCCGCGGGGCTCGGCCGCCGCTGCCCCCGGCCCATCGCGCACGGAGCGCGCCCGCCGCGGCAGCCAAACTCGCCGGGAAAGTTTGTGCCCCATCGGCAGGGTCGTGCCGGGGCTGCCGGCGCGCTGCTCGGGCCGGGGCAGAGCCGGGGGGAGGCGGCGGGGCCGGGGCAGAGCGGCCCCGGGCGGGGAGCGGAGCCGGGCCCCGGCGCGGCCGCGGGCGGAGGATGCGGGAGAGGTCGGGAGGCCGGTAGGTGTCACTGTGAAGGGGGAATGAGAGCGGGCTGCCGGGACGGGGAACCGGGTAACACACAGACCCCTCGGAGGAGGCTCTTCCCCCCGAACTATTCCCCTATTTAAAACTTTAAAAGCGAAGAGTAAGAGAAGCGTTAGAACAGTGGTTAGATTCAGCCCCCTGACTGATTCAGGTGTTTTCCCGCAGCTTTCAGAAGCTTTTTTTGCAAACATTGTGAGCTGTATTTGCTCAAGCTCAGTTTTCCCCAAGATACGCTGAGCAGTCTTTCCCGTTTGGTGAGATTTGTGCTCTTACAACAGCGGGCCACCACTGAAAATTTTACGCAAGGTGTCGACTTCGTTAAAAAGTCAGAGGATTTTCCAAGCAGCATCACTTGGGTTTTGGCTTAGGTTTTCCTAAACTGTCTTGCAAGCATATTCTGTGCTGCTCTGACCTGCTGTCTGCAAACTTCTTTTGGATCATGATTTTCACTTTTGCAGGGAGAGATGGTCTCTGATCCGGTCGGGGCAGCGTGGGTCACTCAGCAGTGTACTGTCACAGCAGGACTTTGAGGGAGCACATCTTGTAGTGCACTTGGAGACATCTCCCACAGCCAGAAATATGTTAACCAGTAAACAAGTACCCACAATGAATGTGCACATGCTCGAGTTAGAGTTTTGCTTCCAACTATTACACACTCTGACCATACAAACCAAAGCAGTCAGTAATACTGGTGGTATTATAGCCAGAGATCAGGGAGTAGCCTGAATACAGCACTCTGACTAAACAAATTTTGTCTATACATGTGGATATCTTTATGGCCTGTGCCTATTGGCTACTCTGTGTAAAGGCTCTTTTGCACGAGTGAGGGTCACAGGTATTTCAAAGACGGTGTGTCCCCCAGGCTTCAGTGCCAGGCTAGCAAAGTTTGTGCTTTCTTCAAGAAAGAAATTCCAATATTGTATGGCGCTTACCATCCCAGAGGGTACAAAAGTATGGGGTGGTCTGTCCTCTGAAATGAAAAATCAGATTTGCAGCTGATGCCAGAAAATATATGGCTCCAGAATTTTTGAAAGCTTGATCCACTTCAGATCATGTCTTGAAGATTAATTCTCTGATGCCTTTAGATGAACCAAACTCTTGACATCATGAGTCCTTAAAAACATTGGTACTCTTCCAGTTCTCCTCCTTAACACAAATAAACTACACAGAAATGTGTGAACGCTTGCTGTCCCAGAGAGCGGTTTACACTAAGCCCTCAGTTCTCTCCATGGGCAGGCATTGTGGTTGTGAACATGATGCTGCTCATCCTTGAATTGTGGTGATGTTCAAATGCCTCCCTCTGACTGCAGCACCCTGGCAAAAGAAGTCACTTTTTTGCTTTGGAAAATCCCCACAACTAAGTGCAATTAGAGATTGTCATGCCAAGCAACAGAAGTGCATCAGCCAATCCAGTGTTCTCCCTCTTGCTGTGATCTACACAGGGTGATTCAAAGGAAAATGCATAGAAAACCACAGAACAAATACGAAAATCTTTCTCTTTTAGGAGATTTTGGAGAGATGTGTAATAGGTGGTGGTACCAGTCAGAGAAAAAAAAAAAAGGTCACCATGAAATACCAACACTAGAATTTATGATGACTCTGTCTTCCCCAAATGTTTTTCCTTTAATAGAGAAAGTCTGCTTTTTTTCCCTTTGTAGTACTGATTTTCTAGGTAAGAGCACAAACATATACTCCTCGAAATAAAGAAAAAAGAGAACAAAAAGAATATGCTCAAGCATGAATGAACATCAGCATTAGTTAAAGTCACTTGTGTTTGTCAGGTATTTTGTGTTTGAATGGACACTGCAGGGCCATCTGGCTAGCTGCACTTCTTCCTCAAATGTGCTAGCTACATTGGAGATAAAAAGGTATAATGGAACACTGAGGAAAATTATGGGGCTTTCCAACACTCCCTCGTGGACTTTGGGCTTATAAAATAGCAAATGAACTACAAAGAGACAAATGCAAAACTTTAATCTGTGAGATACCATCACACTCATATCTGATAGGCAAAGTCAGAGAATGCTAATTTTAAAAAGCAAATTGAAACAAGAACAAGCTTGCCATATTGATTTATTTGTATTTAACATGTGCATATGTGCAGGTCAGAGCATGATAATTAACTTTAAAAAGCAGTTTGAACTTCACAGCTGGGCTAAGAGAAATGGTTAAAGTTTTACTTTAGGTGTTTTGTAATAGCATGCATTAGCTTCAAGCAAAACTCATGGAATGGAAATTACTTCTCCCAATTATGAGGTGGGGTTTCAGCATTAACTGGCATGAATCAGCCCTGTGAGTTCAATGAAAAGTATGCAAGACACTTGTTTTCCAGTCTGTGTATTTTACAGCCTACCATGGGGATGAGGACAAGTAAGTTGGACTGTGCTTTGCAACTGGTTTTTAATCATTCCTCTATTACACAAAGCATATGATGTGTTGTACAATTTGCTTCTGGTTCTGATTTCTTGCATGTGAGATTTATAACCAAGGGCAGTGATTCCGGTCACATCACATATGGCAGGACAGAGTCAGGCCCTCGCTCAGCTTCGGGGTTGGAGCAGTTCTGACTCTTGCAATGTGATCTGAGCAAGCAAATCCCCCTGGCCAAAACAAATAGTGCTGATTTTGTTGTATCTGTGCACGGTGTTTGCTTCTTACCCAAACAAGTCATCTTAATGAACCCAGGCCTAGCTTTAGACCTAAACATGAATTATAGCCAATAATAAGAAAGACAAGAGTGGATTTGGATTTTAACATATGGGCTTGGGGGCTGGCCTTTTTGTTTTGATTTGATTTGGTTTGTTTTGTTTCCCCTCCCTTAGATTTTAAGCTCCTGAAGGAGTGAATATATTATCGGATGCATTAGGACTGGAAGGAACGCAGGTTTAAAAGAAGGCAGGAAACTAAGAAGTATAAAGAGGAGGAAGGAACCTTCTGAGAGGCAGTTGGATGGTTAAAGGTGGCACAGTGAAATAGAATCAAATAATTGCACTGGATTGGCAACAACTAGCCAACGTGAAGATCAGTAGGCTTAGTAATCGGATTCTGCTTTGAACACAAGCACAGATCAAGACAAGATCAAGTGCCAGCTATTATAAAGAAAAATGTAGTAAAGGCATAATAAAGTGACCATCAAATGGAATTCATTCCTTCCTTAAAAATCAAAGGAATGCTGTATACAGTAAATGTCCAGATTTCAAGTGATGAGAGAAAATGCTATTAATGTCTATTTTCTCTGCCCTCATTTATGAGTGTCAAATCACCTTAAAGAAATGCAGGGTCATTAGGTAATCCAATTAATTCATCACTGTTTATTTTCTTTTTTACAGTTACAAGAACTAGGGAAAGTGTGAAATATATCAGCACTTTGTTGTGGGAAAGCTATTAGGTGTTTGTTTTGATGGTGTGCTCATACGAGCAGCAATTTACATTCTTTTTCACAACCAATAGTTCAAAGATTCAAGAGATAATAAGGATCAAGCTCATGGTGATATCACTGTGTGATCAGAAGTGGCATTAGGTCCTTGGTGTGCCCCAGCTTGTCAATGGCCTTCTTCAGGTGGGTCAGGTCATAAGAGTGAAGCTTCTTCACCAAGGTCACAGCCTTATAAAACTGCTGGCATGTAACTAACAATGACCTGTCAAACTGAATTGATCAGTTTGCTTCTTAATGCTTAAGGTTCTGTGAAAGTCCATTTAAAGGAGATAATTCGTCTTTTCAGAGCTTAAGAAAAATTAGGTGCTTAGGATCAGGATTGGTGTAACCATGTAATGAAGTACTACCTGGATGGGAACAGAGGAAAGCATTATGCTCTTAGCTTGATAAAAGTCCAGTTGTCTCATTTAATAAACCCTTCTCCGAGTGGCTTCCCTGGAAGTCCGCGAGCCAGCACTTCATAGTAACTCTGCCCTTGAAGAGACTCTGATTTGGGCAAGGTCATAATCAAATAAGTCCTTCTGTGCCTGTATAAAAGATGTCAGCATGTTCCTGGTATGCTACCAGGCCTTCATGCTTCCTCTTTTCGGCATGGCAACCACATTATTGCTGTTTGTAGGAGAAAGACAGTGTTGTAGTCAGATTTTCCACTTTTTAGCTGCTATGACTAAGTGAGGTCAGTAATAGAACCAGTCACTGTTCTTGCACAAAGCTGCATTTGAGTTTTTAAGAAATCAAACAAGTAATCATTATTTTGCAAGTTGATGAGTAAGAATATGTATAATGAAGACTTGAATGAAGGAAAGGAAAGAGCTGTTGATGCACCAAGGATGGCTTCAGGCCAAACAAGCTGCAAATAGAAAAAAAGCACGAATGCATAGAGGAGGCAACAGTTTATAATATGTGCATTGGAAGTACTTGGAATGAAGGTCATATGGTGCAAGGAGTTCTAGAAACACACAAAATAAAGCAGCAGCAGTTAGGGGGCTTTTTATCCAAACAGATAAATAGAAACAGGAGGGGAGGGAAGGCAAGGGATTACTGCAGGATAGGAGGGCCAGTGACATAGCCCTGAGTGACATGGCCATTTCCAGCACTCTACAGCCATCTATTGCTGCATCTGCAA